GTCTGTCGGGCAGGGAAGGGCAGGCAGCACAGGCTCCTTTGGCTCCTTTCCTCCTGTGTTTTTCCGGGAAAATAAAACTGTATAACTTCATGATGTCCTGGTAGTGATAGCTGGTGAAGTGCTCAGTTGAGTAATTGCTTTATCGGGTGTGACATAGAATTTTGTTGTTGGTTTTTTTTTTTTCCTCAATTAAAGTATCCACAGCTGCAACACATAAAAAGTTTCTATTAAGTCTAAGTACGTTCACCTGTGGATCTGGACAGTCACCTGAAGCCTATACAGTCTGTTAAAGGTCAGGGCATCAAACAGATGTTTTTAGCTAAAAGTAATTGCAGAGTTTCTGGGTAGTTCTTAAGTTGTGAGAGGAGGTGAGAACTAGATATTTAGTCCTCTGGCAGGAGCAATGAACTGTCTCAGCATCTGATGTGACTTGTAGTACCTTGCAGGGGAGAGCTGGCTTTGTCTCACTTGTATCTAACTCAGTGTATTTTTTACAGTAGCTGTGTATGAGCCCTCAAGAGGAAAAACGGCGTGAAAGTAAAGATTAACTCAAAGAAAACAAGCTTTTTAACAAAATGAGGAAATTGGTGGCTGGATTTCCTTTTCCCCTAAAGGGAGAAGGAGCCTGGGAGGGCTCATAGTTCTTTTAAAAAGCTGCATTAAAAATACAGGTGTAAGGTGCCCCAAACAGATCCAGACCAAGAATGAGAGGAGTAGTAGGGGTAGTGTAGAGAGGTGTGTCCTGTTTCTGCTGGTGCCTTGGGTGACAGAGGTGGAGGGAACTGAGTAATTTGGGTGATACCAAAGGAGATGCAGTGACAGCCATGTCAGAGGAGCAGAATGAAAGTCTTAAACCCCGAGAGGTAATCATGAGGAAAGCATAGTTCAGTGCAAACAAATGCAAAGTCTTACTCCAGTGCTATTGATCTCAGTTACACATGGGATGGAAATGACTGGTAAAGCACCTTTTGAGAAGGATTTTAGTGGAGAGCAACCTGTCTGAGCCAAAAAGGCAGAGTTGCAGTGGAAGAGGGGATGTTCAATGGGCACAGGGCTCTGCTCTCTGCTCCTCTGGCATCAGCTAGGCTGTTGTGTTTGCTCTCTCTGGCTCTTTGAGGAGAGAACACGAACTGCACCACATTTAGAAGACATCAGGAAAAATGGCTGTTTGAAAAACACTGTAATAAAAAATTCTGGGTTAAGACTGAAAAGAGAAAGATATTGCCAGCAGAAGAGCACAGAGCAGAGCAAAATCAACTCTCAAAGCAGCTGGAGGGACTGCTGGGCTCTTAGGGACACTTGATGAAGTGCTGGAGTAGATGATGATAATTGTAGGCCTTCTCTTGGCTATTGGGAGACTTGGGAACAGCTCAGTTAAAGGTCAGTTTAAGTTTTGATGGAGTAGATATTATCTGGGGAAGGAAGATTGAGCCGAATGATTTTCTCTCCAGCCCACTCCTGTGATTATTGTGAACTCTGGAAACTGGTTCTTCCACAGAATCAGTCCAGTAAAGTAGGAAATAATTCCTGGGTTTAGGTATGAGACTGTCTTGTCCTTTCCTTTATTTTATTTTTTTAGCTGAATTGGTGCTGTTTTGCTGACGTTTCAGTTGTGGTGCTGTGTGTGCTTTGAACACTTAGCAAGCTGTGGTGATTCTGTCCCCTCAGACCGATGATGAAGAGGAGTCTTTCATTTTGGAGGATCCCTTCCTGCTGAACGTGGACAACACGGACGCGCACTCCTACGACACGTCGTCCGTGGCCAGCTCCGACAGCGGGGACCGCTCGCACCTCAAGAGGTACTGCAGCCCCAACCTGCCAGCTGCACCCTGGGGGTGCTGCTTAGAGCCCTTAAAAACAAATCCTCCTGTTACTCCTCCAGGATCACGCAGGCAAAGGTGGGATTTGTTGCTGTGCTGAGGGCTGGCCTGTTTGAGTGTGCTGGTTTAGAGGGAAACCGGCAGGGGAAATGAACTCAGCTCAAAGGAGAGATTATAAAAGTCAGAATAACAATTTATTAAAATAATACAATAAGTACAATTATACAAACAAACAATTGGTCTTAACCCACAAAACCCAAATGTATAACCCATCACCCTGGGGCATGAACCAAGTGGTTCATGAGTCCAAAGTAAAGGGAGAGGGGAAAAAACCTGCTGGTGGGAGAGCTGTTGCAGTCTGGTCAAAAGTGGTGATTGCAGTCCAGCTGAGGGTGGTGGTCTCAGTCTGGTTGAGAGTGGTGAGCTGTAGTCTTCCTCTGGATCCACGAGTCGTAGAAAAGTTCTGAAACTCCAGGTTTATATATTCTCCAGTTCAGGCAGGAATGGTCAATCCTTCCCTCAGAGCGGGGAATTCCATAAAAGGGTATGAGGACAGGAACATCCCCCCCACAGGCAGGCCTCCTCCCCAACAGTTTTTGGGAAATGGCTTGGAGGGCCATAGAATACACAGTTTTGGGCTATACCCATCCAGTGATGAATCGGTCCCAGCTGTTCTAACTAGGACACACTGTTACTCCTCCAGGATCACGCAGGCAAAGGTGGGATTTGTTGCTGTGCTGAGGGCTGGCCTGTTTGAGTGTGCTGGTTTAGAGGGAAACCGGCAGGGGAAATGAACTCAGCTCAAAGGAGAGATTATAAGTCAGAATAACAATTTAATAAAATAATACAATAAAAACGATTGTACAGACAAACAGTTGGTTTTAACCCACAAAACCCAAATGTATAACCCAGCACCCTGGGGCATGAACAGAGTGGTGTTCTTTGGGCCCCCTG